TATTGTGTTAGCTATTCTGGGTCTTTGGACTGCCCATATAAACTTTATAACCAGTTTATTGATATCCCCAAAATACCTTGCTGGAATTTTGATTGAGATTGTATTGAATGTATAGATCAAGTTGGGAAGAATGCACATCCTGACAATATTGAGAGTCTTCTCTCTATGAACATGGAATATCTTTCCATTTATTTAGTTTTGAACTCATTCATCAGTTTTGTGCTTTTGTTCATATAGATCTTGTGCAAATTTTGTTAGATTTATACTAAGTTGAAATCATTGTTTTTCTGGTGCTAATGTAAATGATACTGTGCTCTTAACTTCAAATTCTACTTGTTCATTGTTGATGTGTAAGAAAAAATTTGACTTTTGTATATTAACCTTATGCCTTGCAACCTTGCTATCATTGCTTATTAGTTCTATGAGTTTTTTGGTTTGTTTTATTTGATTTTTTCTACACAGACAATCCTGTCATCAGTGAACAAAGACAGATTTATTTCTTCATTCCCAGTATCCCAAAAGGAATACTTTCGATTTCCTTTTCTTGTCTTATTTCATTAGCTAGAAATTCCAATATGATGTTGAAAGGAATGTTAAGAGGGGACATCCTTGCCTTGTACCTGATTTTAGTTTAATAGCTTTAAGTTTCTTGGTATTAAGTAGATCTTTGCTACAAGTCTTTTGTAGGTTTTCCTTATCAAGTTGAGGAAGTTCCCCTCTATTCCTAGTTTACTTGGAATTTCTATCTATTGATATGATCATGTGTTTTTTCTTCTTTAGCCTTCTAATGTGATGGATTACAGTAATTGATTTTCAAATGTTGAACCAGCCCTGCAGATGTGGGATAAATCTCATTTGGTCATGGTATATAATTCTTCTTATACATTATTGGATTCAATTTTACTAATATTTTGTTGAGAATTTTGTGTCATTGTTCATGAGAGATGTTGGTCTATAGTTTTCTTGTAATGTCTTTGTCTATTTTCAGTATTAGGGTAATGCTTGCCTTACAGAGTAAGTTAGAAAATATTCCCTCTGCTTCTGTTCTCTGAAAGAGATTGTAGAAATTTGGTAAAATTTCTTCTTAAATGTTTGGTAGAATTAAGAAATGAACCCCTCTAGGCCTGTCTGTTCTAGAAGGTTATTAGTAAATACAGACCTACTCAGATTTCTATTTCTTCTTGTGTGAATTTTGGCAAGTTTTGATGTCCAAGTAATTGTTCCATTTCATCTAGGTTATCAGATTTGTGGGCATAGAGTTGTTCATAGTATTCCTTTATTATTCTCTTAATGTCCACAGGATCTGTAGTGATGTCTCCTCTTTCATTTCTGATATTAGTAATTTGCATCCTCTCTCATTTTTTCTTAGCCTGGCTAGAGGCTCATCAGTTTTACTAATCTTCTCAAAGAGCCAGGTTTTGATTCCAGTGATTTTTCTCTAGATTCCTGTTTACAGTTTCATTTATTTCTGCTCTAATATCATTTCCTTTCTTCTACCTCCTTTGGATTTAATTTGTTCTTTTTCTAACTTCCTAGAAATCTAGATAATTGATTTTAGATCTTTCTTGTTTCCTAATGTATGCATTCAATGCTGTAAGTATTCCTCTTAAACACTGCTTTTACTACATCCCACAAATTTTAATGTAACACTTTCATTTTCATTTAGTTCAGAATATTCTAAAATTTCTGTTGAGATTTCTTCTTTGATCCATGCATTATTTAGAAGCGTGTTATTTAATCTCCATATATTTGGGGGATTATCTAGTTATCTTTCTGTTAGTGATTTTTAATTTAATTCCATTGTGATCCAAGTGCAGGCACTGTATGATTTTTGTTCTATTAGATTTGTAAAGGTTGTATGTTTTATGACCCAGAATGTGGTCTACTTGCTGAATTTTCCATGTGAGCTTGAGAACCATGTGTGTTCTGCTGTTGTTGGGTGAAGTACTGTGTAATGTCCATTATATATAGTTGATGGGTGTATTATTGAGTCCAACTTTGTCCTTACTGATTTTATGCCTGCTGAATCTGTCCATTTCTGATAGATAAGTATTGAAGTTTCATTTCAAGTGGAAATGTATGGCTTATGAAATAAATGATGCTTATAATTAACCATCTTCCTGAAAGAAAACAGTCAGCCCTCTTGCTTTCCATATATAACAATGAGTTCCAGGTAGATTATAAATATTTAAATAAAAAATAGCAATTTTCAGAATAAATAGGAAAATATTTGTATAAATATGTGGTAGGAGAGCCTTGCTTTAGGCAAGCAAGAAAATCCAAAGCCACAAAGAACTTTTTAAAGATTTGTCTATGGATACTACAAACAAGAATCACACACACATATTATTTTGAGAAAAAAGTATTTGCAACACAAATGACAAAGGGTTAATCCTCATTATAAATAGAATCTGTCCAATTAATAAAATAAATAGAATTTCTTATAGAAAAATAGGTAAATGTTATGACAGGCAAATCATTGATGTGGAAATTCAGATGGCCAGTAAACAAATGAATGTATGTTGAACTTTATTATTATTTGGAAAAGTATAAATTAACACAAAAATAAGGTACCATTTTCCATGGGTATGTTAAAAGAGGTGAAAGTAAACTTATGCTTTCATGTGTTGCTGGTGGGAATTTGAATTGACACTTTTTTGGAAAGTATCCAGGCAATCTGTAGTCCAACTAAAGAAACATACAGCTTTCATCCTTCCATCCTATCTTTGCCAGTTTATTCCATAAATATAAAAACATGTGCTTAAGGACATTGATTGCAGTGTTACTTGTAGGTACAAACAGCTAGAAATAACCTGAGTGTTCATCTAATAGGGGAATGAGTAAATAAATGGTGATGCATCTATTGCACAGCTTTAAAAATATTGAAGTGTATGTAGCTATCACAAAGAATGGGATAGGTATATACTTGTTAACATTAGAGCAATGACCAAGATAAATTGCTAGGTTAAAGAACGAATAATGAGTATAGTATGATTCCATTTTATGTTTAAAAACAACAACCAAGACCCTAAATATTATTTTATATTTGTATAAGCATGGAGAAAGGTATAGAAGATAAATTATAAATAAATTCACAAATATAATGTAAATCACATTAGTTTCTTCAGGAAGGTGGGATGGAAAAAGAAAAGATTATTAACTTTTTTTTTTACCCAGCTTTTAATGTTTCATTTATTATAATGGTCATATATATCAGTTTGTAACTTAAAACTAATTTTATTTTTAAAGAGAGCTATAACTCTAAACTTCTTAGCTTTTCAATTCCCTTCACTAGAAAACATTAGAATACAATACTAGGCCCATTGCCAATTATCAAGGGTTTGTATTTGAATTAGGTGCTATTTCTGCCATTAAGAATGTTTTACCCTAATGGGAAAGGCAGTATATACAGAGAAGACAAGTAATGATTCTATAGCATCTTACTACACTGATGGATAGTGACTGTAATGGGGTATGTTGGGGGGACTTGATAATAGGAGGAGTCTAGTAACCATAATGTTCAAGTAATTGTACATTAATGATATCAAAAAATTTTAAAAAAACAAGTTTTATTCTAGCAGAGAGATGGGTTCAATAGGTACAATAGAAGTTAAAATAGTAAAATAATTTTGATTTAGTTAAGAAATCAAAAGAACATGAATGGGAATAAAATAAGGCTTTTTAAATTTCAAGATTAAAATAACTAAAAATAGCCAGAAAATGCCCAGATTATCTTTAGGCAAGGACCACTTTAACTGAAATCAGGGAACCATGTATTAAGCATATTTCAAGATTAAGAAATCATATTTCAGGAAACATCGGGTTGGATGCCGCCATGCCAAGGCAGCTGCATGCTGCAGTTACTCTTCTTTGTCCCCGACTACGCTCTCGCAAAATTCTTCCTTGTTTGAGGGAATGTCTTCAGAAAGAATCACACATATTGGTGTGTACTGATGGAGCCGAGCAGTGTTTGGAAATGGGCAGAAACCAAGGCTAAATTGCCTGTGAGTTGAATGGAGGGATTTGTTAGAACATAGGGGTCAATTAAAGCAAGGAGATTATATATACATACCTCTAACACAACTAACCTCGCACTTGATCCTTACTTTCATTATATTTTAACCGTTATTATAAATGTCCTGATTATTAACCTGATGCTTAACTGGATTACAGTCTCAAATCCCTCTTCCCTCTTTCCTTGCCTCCCTCCTTCCCTCTTTTTCCTTTCCTCTCCATTTCCGTCTTTTCCATCTTCCCTCTGTTCCTTCAGTTTCTGATTCTCTGTTAAACATTGGCCTAATCTCTTCACTGTATGGAGTTAATCAGATTTTATAGCATTATGGGACTATATTCTAACATTTGAAAGAACTGACTTTTTTCATATGCTGTATGATTGCTTTTACTACCAGGGATGATTTAGTATGCTTAAACTTTTCTATTTTACAATTATTTAGATATTAGAAAGTAAGTATAGAGTAGTCCTTCTGGGTTTTTATATAGTTCTAGGCCCAGGTGATCAAATCTTACTACTTTTGTCATCTTGGACAAGTTGTTTTTTTTCCCTGAGCCTCAGTTTCTCAAATGTAAATGTGAATAATAATCACTGAACTATTTTATTATGTTGGCATAGGATTAAATGAGTTAATTCATGTATAGTGGGTAAAACAGCTCCTGGCACTTAGTAATTAATAAATACTGTATTTGCTATTAAAGTTAAATGACAGTTAATCAGTTTAGCAAACATTAATTGAATTACCCACCAGGGGCCAAATCTTATCCTAAGTGACAGGATTAAGTATATTTATTGAGCATCTATTATTGGTCTGGCATGGAGAATGTAGTGGGGAATAAAGTCCCTATTCCTCTTCATGTTTATAAAACTGTTAATGACTATTATTTATTAAAGTTTGAGTTTATATTTATATTATATTTATATTTATACTAAATTGACTTTATGTGATTGGCCTTTAATTTTTTGTTTGTTTTACTTTTAAATCTAGGATATCTTATATTATGAGCAGCTTAAGACCAATGTGATACAACATGACCTTTTGGTGGACAGTCTAATTTATAAAGTAAGTAAAAGTGTGCATAGTTTTCCATTTCCATTAAAAATTATTAAGGGACTTCAACATACAGGGCCTGTGCTATATATGATGATTCATGTCAACCTTGAAAGATAATTTACAATGATCATTATACTTACAAAGTTAAGATTGATTTTCAAAATCTGCAGTCTCCATTCAATATCTGCTTTCCCTTTGAAGCTGTCCTCATGATCCTTTCCTGGGCCTTCCATTTTTTTTTTGTTTAAAGAATGGCAAGTATTTCTTGTCCTTACAAATTCAATTTTTCCACACAAACTAAATGGAACTGAAAGGAAAATGTGACTATAATTCTTTCATCTTATTTGTCTCATGATTCTTCAGGGCCTACTTGTTTACTCTTTTATATTGAAGTCATTTTTATTTTTAATATTTTATAGTTTGTAGACATATGGTTAAGTACATTTTTTTGTCTGATCAAGTTGAGAGTTGACATGTAGATGTAAGCACATATAGGCTGTGAATGATTCTGGATTAATAAGTAAGCTCTTTAAAAAACTTAGATTTTAAATTTAGAACTTGTAAAATAGAGGAGAAGGGCATATTAGTCCAAGACTCAGAAATAGGGGAGAGAAGATTGAGGACCTGAAGATTTGTGTGGGTAGAACATGCCCAAGGTTAATCATGGCAACAACTACTAGCATGTAGTACTGCTTACTATGTGCCATACAGTGTTCCAGGCTTATTACACAGATTGTCATTTGATCTGGGCAGCTCCCTTAAGAGTAGCAAATACCAGCATTTAGGTTGTAAATGATTTCATACACTAAATGATAAATGCATTTTTTTCCTGGAAAAGAAACCTGCATTCTACAAAATCATGCCTTAAAAATAATAGAGCTTATAGGAAAAATAGGGATGGGATAGGTTTTGCAACTTTGTTCCCAGAGTACTAACAAAAAATAATCAGTAGCTTGGGAGATGAATTGGACAGTTCAGGCAGGCTGCTCCCAGAGGAGCATTAAAAATGTACAAAAATAACAAAGTTGAAATGTTAAAATAAATTAGATGGAAGTGATGTGCTGGGCCACTGGGGCTGCTGTTAAGTTGGACAAAGAGGAAGTGCAGCAACTAACAGTCATGCAAGGCTGGAGATGGGCCTCTTTGGAGAGGGAGCCCAGTATAGTCATTCATTTTTAATTTTCTTGAAACACAATTATAAGGGCTCATTCCTGTGCAGTAGCTGAGCTGAAAGTTTTTCCCTTCCTCGTTGAAGGTTATGCTTCTTCTGTTGTTCTGGCTCCCCTGTTTTAAAGAAAAATTGCATATGAATACACAATTACCATGTTATACAGACATCATTCCCTTACTGACATCATTCCCTTTTACTATAACAAAACAGGAAGTGCTATTTTTTTACCATTTTACAGATGAGGGAACTGAGGTAGAGATTAAGTAAATTTGTTTAAATTCACTTATTAAATAAGAAAATCAAGATTTGAACGTAGGTAATCTGACTTCACAATCATACTCTTAACCACTGTACAGGGAACAAAGATGAGGAGAGTTAAGAGGATACAGTCTTTTGATGAAAAGTCTTGACTTTCACAGAGGTTTTATAGCAGATTGGGGTCTCAGGTACTACTATGAACTTTTGAGGTCAAATAATTATGCTCAGGGGATTATGTTAGCAACAGTGTAAAAGAGCTTTTGGACTTTAAGACCTTCAACCTCTTTTCTATTCAAATGAGAGAAGCTCAGAAGAGAAATTCAGAAAATCAGACAGTGCTAACATGAGAGTTCTCTTTACTGCCAACATGAATTTCAGTTTAAATCAGTAAAGAAAATCTGCTGTGAGAAACAGGTTTCATCTGAAGAACTGAATATGAGTTTTGGTAGAATCAAGCTGGACTATCTACAACATGAGTGTTTTTAGGAAAATATCTGCCTCTGGGTGTTCCTCACTTGCATTAGTTGAGTTCCACTGAGCTTCTTGGAGTAATTCCAAATGTTATTAAAGTCATTCTTTGAGGGAATGAGCATTTAAAAAAATTATTTTAGGTTTCATTACAGCTCCTTTTGGCAAAGACTCATTTTTACTGTAACTGAAAATAAAGTAGACTTATTTTAGTATTTAAACAAATGAATGGAACAAGGCAAATTTAACTCAGAACATCATCAAACCCTCTCTAAGCTAGATTTTAAATGTTTCTCTTTGGACTGTATATTTTTCTCCCACAAACTGGCCTTGTATCCACATCTATAGTTTTTTACCACTTAGTATAATCCAACAGTTGATAGCCATGTTTCTCAACCTTTTCTTAATTATTACACCCCCTAAAAAGAACATTTAATTAATTTTTCTCTAAAATAAAAAATTATATACTAAAGAATATGATTTTGTTGGGCAGAAGATAAGCTTTGGAGGTTCACAAACCATTGAAATATGTAAAATTTTTTGGCTCCTAAGAATCAGCTTTCACCCCCTTACAGACAATAACATCCCTGTTGAGAATGCATCATCTCTACCTCTACTCACATTGTCTTCTGACTTAGAAGATTGCCCCTTTCTTTTCTGTTAATTTGTATCTTTAAGTGTTTCTAGATTTAGTACACATTTACTGCCTCCAGCATCATACATGACTCATTTCATCCTCCCCTGATTGCTGTTTTACTCAAAAGCCTGGTTGAGTTTTGTAGAATAAACAGTATTATCAGGGATTTCTATAATATTTCTTGGCAATTATTCCCGTATTTCTACTATCTATGTTTTCCTGCTGGTGAGATTGTAGACTTCTTAAAGAAAAACACTGTCTTGCTTGTTGGGTAATAAGCAATGACCTGCAAATGAATAATCACAAAGGCATGGAAGATTGTTGGTACTTTGAGGGAATGGCAAGAATGTGGATTTGAACAGTGCAGGATGAGATTGGAACAGTAATTTGGGGCCAGATTGTTATAGTTGCTTCTGAATGTTATGATTGGATTTGCTTTTCCAACTCTAAGACACCTAAATATTAGATTAAAAGGAGATAAAATTAAAATAAATAATGAGGAATTACTAATGAAACCTTAAAAAGTATGAGCAATTTAAGGTAAAATAATGTGTCACATATATTATTCAAGTAAATTTATAACAGTGATAAAATCTGGGAAGTTTATAATCATACATCAAGTAATAAAATCCATTGCAGTCTTGTTTCTAGATAGATACTGCATTTTATGTCTCAATGCTATAGACATATTTATTTAGGCTCTTATCAGTACTTTCTACGTTTAATTCCAGGATGTGAAGTTGACTGCAAGCAATGATGATTATTATTTTGTATTTGAAGATTATTTATATCAGGTAAGTTGAAGAAATAATGTTGTTTTAAGTTCTCTAACTCAGGATACCTTAGCAGATATCTCTGTTTTTAACTGAATCCTGAAATTCAAGCCATTTTTTATTTCATATGTTCCAAGTTTGGAATAAGTTAACTTGTATTCTTAAGTGGGATTAGGTTGCGAGAACCTGAGTTCCCAAATAAGTATTTTAGGCTGTTCCTTTTGGTCATATCTGCTACAACCAGTAGAGGTATAAACACAGATTATTACATTGGATGTCAGATTTAGGTTTAAGCCATGTAAAGATGTTTAGAGAAAGCTTTTTACATGATACTTTTCTATTAAAGGTATTGAATAAATAATAAAATGTTTTAGTTTGAAGTGACATGATTACTCTTTGATCATTTCATGTGCTGCTATTGTGGATTTTTGGATCCTTACCTACATCTTTTTCATATCTACTAAATAAAACACATATATAGAAAAAAATATAATTTATATAGAATTTCCTATATGATCTTTTTTTTAAAGATCACGCATACATAATAATACTTTTATTTTGAGTGAATATTGATGTAAGTTCCACATAGCAATTTTCTGCTTGATTAAGTATAAATCAATCCTAGCTGTTGGCATCAGCAGGTTTCTGTTTGGTAACAGTGGTGGTGGTGTGCATTGGTGTAACTCCCTGGAAAGGAAATCCGGGACAAAATACCTCTAAAACCGAAATCAGTCAAAGGGAGAAATAAAGTTTAAAATCCATTAATTGCTTACAAACTGCAGTCTGGGGCCATCTCTCTTTCCTGCTCTGGCAGCTCTCCCACTAACCTCTCAGGTTCAGGTAAGCCCTTGATTGCCCAGGTAATTACCCATTGATATGGAGATGATGTACTGCTCTCTACCCCTGAGGACCGCCTGTTCATATGCAGATGAACTAAAGCCAGGCAAGATATTCTGGAAATACTACAATTTTATCCACAATGAGCTTTAAGAAAAAAGAGCTAAGTAAGAATTTCTCATGAAGATTTAATTCTACAAACTGAAGTACAAAGATTTCATAAAATTTACTTGTTAAATTAAAATTTGAAATAAACATAGAAATAATTTTGAAGGAATGTGATTAATTTTTTAATTTTAAAAAATAGTGAAGATCTAAAATCCTAATCTTTAATGTAAAGTTAGTGATTAATTAAAAGTTAAAAAATACATAAATCTAAAAGCTGATTTACTTATGTAGCCTTGTACATAATTCTTAGTACTCGGTAAAATTTTGAATATACTGATGAAGTTAATGCTTCATTTATATAGTGAGTGGAAATTTTCACGTTTGGAATGGCAGCATAAGGAGCTCCAGAGAACCATCTCCCACAGAAAAACCATAACTGATGAAAAATTATTTTAAAAACAGAAATATTTAAAGTATCAGGAATCTGTCCTAAGGTCATACATCAAGTCAGCAAATGAATAAAAACATTTATTCAAGAAAAGCTGCTGTCTTTTCTTGAATCTCAGTAAGAACAATCTGCCATCACTTAAGCCATGACACCCTCTCTCCCTACCCTCCCCCAACCCAAATCTACATGGTGGATTGATTCTTCAGTTCAGCCGAGTGTGCTCAAGAAGTTGGGTTTCCTTTCCCTCTAACTTCTAGTCAAGGTTACAATATCTCTACAGGGTGGGGGCATATGGCTAGTTTTTCTAATACCCCTCAGCTCTGTGTTGAGGATGCTAAATCCTAGAAGAATGCTGCCAAGAAGTTAGATGCTTCCTTTTTCTACCCAGCCTCCACTCATAAGGCAGGCACCTGCCCCAAGAGCTTTACTTGCTCTCAACAAACTAAGAACGCTGGGGCCCTGTTGCCCTCACCCCAGCTTGCTTATAGGATGGAGGTTCCACCTGGGGTGAGGCAAGCTGAAAAGAACAGAGGCTACCAACCCCACCCAGTGGCATTTTCAGAAAATAGAAGTGTGATTCTGAGACAGAAATGGGCCACTGTCTCCACCCGGAACTCCAGAGCAGTAACTCAGATTTTGCCCAGGGAGAGAGGCAGCCAAAAGAACAGAGAGCTCTGAAGCACTCCTCAAAGAACTGACTTTAAATGGAGTATGGGAAAGTTCAAGCTAATGGGGCTTTCTAAAACAATGGAGATTTTAATGGTAGGCAAATAGGAGGCAGTGAACTAACTCAGCAAGAGTAACAAGCTAAACTAAAAGCCAGCTAGTTTACCAAAGGGGCCATGGATAGAGGCAGGATGAGTCTTGCTGGGTAGGGACAAACCTCAGACTGGCCTCAAAAAATAACTGCAAAGGATTGCAAATCGTGCAAAGAATTCCAAATTTAACTGAATCAGACATAGTCCAATTTATACTTGAGAGCACTGTTGAAAACAATAGAGCAATCAGCTGGCAATTTGTGGAGCCTAACATCTGGTTGTGATAACAATCGAGGCAGAAAGCTTAGAAGAGAGATCAGGGAAAGAGTCAAAAAAAGCCCTGCTAAAAACCAGTGTCATCCAAGAGGGACTGACTGCCTCTTTGAGGTACATCAGAGATTTCACACTGTGAGAGAAATGAACTCCAAAAAAATATTAAAACTGTCACTAAACAAATAAAAAGCAAACTTAGGTTTGATGTAGTCCCATTTATTTATCTTTGCTTTTGTTGGTTGTACTTGCAGCATCATATCCAGGAAATCACTGCCAGGACCAACGTCAAGGAGCTTTTTCTCTGTTTTTTTGTAGAAGTTTTATGGTTCAGGTCTTACATTTAAACAGCTAATCTATTGAAAAGACTATCTTTTCTCCACTGAGTATTCTTGGCTCTCTTGTCACATGTATTTCTTGACAGTGTATGTGGGGGGTTATTTCTGGCCCCTTAATTCTGTTCCATTGGTATATGTGTCTGTTTTTATGCCAGTGCCATACTGTTTTGATTACTATAGCTTCATAGTATAGTTTGAAATCAGGAAGTGTGAGGTGTCTGTCTTTGTTCTTAAGATTTTTTTTGGCTATCTGGGGTCTTTTGTGGCTCTATACTAATTTTAGGATAGGTGAAAAATATCATTGGAATTTTGATAAGGATTACACTGAATCTATGGATGTTTGGGGCAATATGGACATTTGTTATTTCTTCCAATCTATGACATCTTTCATTTGTTCGTGTCTTCTTCAATTTCTTTCATCAGTCTTATAATTTTCAGTGTACAGATATTTCACCTCCTTTGTTAAATTTATTTCTTAGTATCTTACTGTTTTTGATGCTATTGTGAATAAGATTGTTTCTTCTATTTTTTTTTCAGATATTCTGTTAATGTATATAAATGCAAATATTTTCTGTATGTTGATTTTGTATCCTGCAACTTCACTGAATTTATTGATTAGTTCTAGCAGGTTTTTGGTGGAATCTTTAGGAATTTTTAATATATAAGATCATATCATCTGAAAATGAAGACAGTTTTACTTCTTTCTTTCATATTTGGATGCCTTTTATTTCTTTTTCTTCCCTGATTTCCCAGAGTGATCTTTTAAAAATACCAGTCAATTCATGTCACCTGTGTGATTAAAACCAAAAAGGCCAAAATCCTTCAAGGGCCTACCTGACTCTGCATGACCTGGCCCACCTCTCCAACCTCATTTTTCATCTCTCCCCTGACACTCTCTGGCTCTGTGCATACACCATCCTAATCTTTCACCCCTCAAGTTAACTATACTTCTTTCTACCTTAGGACCATCAGACCTGCAGTTCCTCTGATGTAGAAGACTGTTACCCTCCCCATTTCCCTTAGTTAATTCCTATTTTTCTTTGGCTCTAAGCCAAAATATCTGTGCTCACGTACACTTTCCCTGACCTTCTCCCTACCTCCCAACATGAACATACGCAACAAGGTCATGGCCATCTAATGCTTTTAGTATTATGTAGTGTTATTAATACTTTTTATTTATAGTACTTATTATAGCTTATTTTATAATTGTCTCTCCCATATAAATTCTATAAGTGTTTTGGTCTTCATTGTTAACTCTAGTCATAGCATGCTATAGTACTGAATAAAAATTTATCTTAACATCATATACTTTTTATCATTGATAAGCTTTTTTTTATTATTGAGAGGAAAACTTTCTTCTTTTATCTGGAAGCTTAATATCAGTACTTATTTGTTGGCTAAGGTTTTGCTGTCATTTTACAGGACTCTAGATTTCCTTCTGTTAGAATTTAGTTCTAGATATCATGGATCCTTTTTATGAACTAACTCCTAAGGGAAACAGACTAGTTAATGTTGTGCAGTGCTAAAGATATAAAACAAACAAAATAAACTCAATATCTACTACCTGGCAAACACTTAGCTTGTTAAATTTTTTTCCCTTCATAAGTTAACTGTTTTGATCTATTTTGTCAAAGCCATTATGACATTAAACATATGAATACATAAATTATATTTTTAACCAAAGGCCAATAATGGCATGATTTATAATGTGTTGACTATTCTACATGTCGACTATAGTGTGTGAGTAAATAGACTATAAATTTGACAATTTCATCCTTTTTGTTGACTGGAGAGAAGCGGTTCTCAATTTTAAATTTCAATTCCAAAAGCTTTTCGGTGATCGTAAAGGGATTTGCCAGGTAACAAATCTGTCTCATTTGGTAAACAGGGTCAGTAAGGGTATTGTTTTAAATGAGAATAGTAATAATTTCTCATAGTGCCAAAATTAACCTTGAAAATACAGTAGTCTCACTTTCTGCAGTTTCAGTTACCTGCAGTCAACCGTGTCTATAAGTGAATGATCCCCCTTCTGACAAAGCACAGGAAGGTCAGTAGTAGCCTAACACTGCATCACAATACCTACATCATTTACCTCACATCATCACATAACGTAGGCATTTTATCATCCTACATCATCACAAGGAAAAAAACGGTGAGTACAGTACAATAAGATATTTTCAGAGAAAGAGACCCCATTCACAGAACTTTTATAACAGTATACTGTGTAATTATTCTATTATTATTTGTTGTTAATCTCTTACC